GGAGCGGGGCCGCGGGCCGGGGAAGCAGCGCCGCAGCCCCGGGCGCCGTCGCCTTCTCGGGGCGCGGGACCGCTGCCGGGATTGAAGACAAAGCCCTGAGGCCGGCCCCAGGTTCCCTCCACCGAGGGGACCCCACGTGCGCCGCCCCACGCCCCGCCACGTGGGGGGACCCGGCCCCCCGGCGCCCCTTCCCCCGCGTCCTCGGAGCGCCTGGGGCCTTGGGGTGGCCTCCTTGGCTGGGCCGCGCCCGGCCGGGGGTGGGAGGGGCGGTCCCGGAGTTTGGAACCGATGTCACCCGGGGCCGGGGCAGTCAAGGATCTTGGAGGCGGCCTAGGCCCACCTTCTCGCGTTTGACAGGTGGGGAAAGCTACAGAGTGCAGGGAAGGAGAGGGCCACCGGACTCTGAGCACCCCACCCCCGCACCCCGCTTGTCTTGGGGGCAAACCCAGGCCCTGGTGGGTTGGACCAACACCAGGGGGCAGGACCCTGGATCAGCAGTTGCGGGGCCTGGGGACCTTTGCCTCCCTTAGTTGGCCCTCTGCCTCCGCCCTCCAGAACCTCGCTGGCTGGTCCTTTTGACCTAATTTACCTCCGGTCCACAGCACTCAGTGAGTGCAGAGAGGTGCCTTCACCGGCACCCTCTGCTTGACTCTTGGGGACGCGCGGAGTCTGGGCCCAGCCCCGCTAAGCATTGGGTCTCGGTGCCTGGAATGCCACCCTATCCAGCCTCGAGCTCTTCCTGGCTCTCCCTCCCGGCCCCCCCCGCATTGCCCAGTTTGGGAAGTGGGATGTTTTCACAGCTCTGCCAGCCTCCCTGCTGCTCTCACTTGGCTGTGGGGAGGTTGCACTTTAGCCTCTCCTGTCTCCCTCAGAAGGTTGGGGCGGAGGGATGCCGTTTGGGGAGGGGGCGGGGGACTCAGTGCCCTCAGTAAGAGAGGGGCTCGCTGGCCTGGGGTGGGACATGTAGTGTCCACTTCCTTAAAGATAACTTTAACCTTCCTCAATCTGGAAGTCCCTACAGTCCCAGAGATAGAAACTTCATGTACCCTAGAGTGGTACTGTCATTTACCACACCCCCTTGCCTAGCTCTGCCCCCAGGGGAGAGAGAAGAGGATAGCTCTCTGTCCCCATAGGCTCCCATGTTCTCAGGGGGAGGTAGGGGCAGCAACAAGGGGAGGGCTTTGGGGGAGTGATCCCCTGCCTCTCAAACCACCCCACAAAAACATGCAGTTTAAGAATAAACAGTGTTCATGCTATGCAAATGCAGCTTTGTGGTGAGCCCTGGCACCTCCTTCCAGATTGCTCATCATCAGCCCTTCCTATATAGAAAGCAGCTATTGTAGTGAGAGCACAGTGTATTTTTGTAATAAAAAGTAATAGCCATCATTTGATGAGCCTCCAAACACTGTGCTATGTGTTGCATTTACTATCTCATTTAATGCCTACCAAAATCCTAGAGGCAGAGATTTTTATTCCCATTGTAGAGATGAGGAGGTCAAGGGTGGAAACAGTGCTGCAGTGTGGCTAGGAGTTAGCCTCATTCTATAGAGGGATCAGAGAGGTTAAGCAGCTTGTCCAGGGTCACACAGCCAACCCAGGCATGTCAGGCCCTTGAGCCTATGCACTTGACCACCTCTCCTAGAGCAGGGTCCCTTGCAAGGCTGCCCTCAGCTTTTTGAGGGGCCCCAAATTGTTTACTAAGCCAGCTTAGGGGGACACAGATCTAAGCAGGCATGCTGCTGATGCTTAATGACTTGTCTTTGCTCCCAGGTTGTTAGTGGGCTAGTAGCCAAATTATTCACCAATAACTCTGCAGTAGCTCTCATCAAGGGCAGTCCCACCTTCCTGGCAAGCATTTGGAAAAGTGCCTGGTGACTTTTGGTTGTCAAAGTGATGCTGAGCACTTCTGGCTTTGGTGGGTTGGAGCCAAGGATGCCAAATGTCCGGCAAGCAGGCCAGATCCATGCCAGGCACAAAGAATTGTCCTGGCACCTGTTGAAAAACACTAGGAGGAATCAGTGTGCTAGGAATGAAGGGAGCAGAGGGCTGTGGAGTTTCTGGAGAAATCTCTTCTGGCCAGTATGAATCTAGGAGGCTCCCAGAAAGAGGTGGTGTTTGTGCTCAGCCTTGAGTAATGGGCTAAAAATAAATAAATAAAAAATAAAAGGAGATTGCATGGGAGTAGAAGAAAAAGGGTCTGACCTAGTAGAGGGAACTTTCTGCACTAACTCAGAGTTCCCTCCTTGAGAACCTCAACCTGGATCCAAGATGGGCTGCTGGGTGGGGAGAGACCTCTCTCAAGAGGAACTGGGTGGGGCAGGCCAAGCCTATTTTCAAGGCATTTTGGCTCAGATTTTAATGTGGGTTGCAGAGTCATCCTCATCCCATCATGAACTCATTTAATGGAAGGGCTCAGAGAGGCAAAGTACTATAACTTGTTTAGGGTCACTCGCAACCTTCCTCTCTGCATGCCACCTTCTGGTAGCTGTGGGAAGCCTAGAGTTCTCATTTCCTTTTCCAGTCCTGGAGATTTGGGGCAAATGCTATTTCAGATTGTCCTTTGAGTCAGAGGGCCTTGTGTTGCTATTTTTCCCCGGATATTGTGCTCTCCCAGTTAGCTCCTCCCCTTTGGGTTACAGGCCGGGGGCATGGGGTTCAGGCATGCCTGGCTCCAGGTTGCTGCCTTGGCCTTCTCCCTCATCTCTGCGCCTTCTTTCTTGGAAGTGAAGGAAATTGCATTCCTCTCTTGGAATGGCCTTTTCTTCTTTCAGAATGTGTTTGTTCCCTTGTTGACCTGTTAATATGTGACCTTTCACGTCTGGCTTCTCTTTCTTGGAGCATAAATGTTTCCCGAGGTTCATCCATGCTGTAGAACATCTCTGTGTTTCTCTACTATGGCTGAGTAGTATTCCCTTGTATGGATAGACCCCATTTTGTTTATCCATTCATCAGCTGGTGGACACTGGGTTGTTTACACCACACACTTTGTGCATTCCTCTGCCTCTTCAGCGCCCAATTAATAAACCTCTGGGCACGAGACATTATTTTGTCACTCTGTTTGCAGAGAGAGGGTGGTGGAAGGAAGGGTCTCTGAAATCAGTTGGGCAACGGTTCCCATGAACAGGGTTTTCAGGATTCCTTCCATCTTGCCCCCTCTAGCTCCGCCACAAGAATCCTGCTTCCTTCCAAAGCCCAGTGCCTCCAGGGTCCATGCACGGGGGGACACGTGTGATTTTTCAGGGAGAGTGTGGATTTCCTTCCGTTCCATTTCTTCCGTCACGATGATTTGTTAGATGTAGGGCCTCATGTCATCTCTTGGCATGTATTTTGTGAGACTTTTTCCAGGTGAGTAAATCCACAAAGTAGAGAAAGCCTCACCAGACAGATGGAGCCCTAACCCGGTGGCCAGGCGTGGAGTTCAGTGCAGTCTCCCAACGGCTTAGCCAGAAATGCCTCCCGCGGAGGAAATCAGAAGTCTAGCAAACACTGACCTGGGAGGAAGCCCAGAAAAGAGCACCCCTTAGCCCCTTCCGTTTGACAGCTGAGTAGGTGGAACGCAGAGAGGAGGGGAGAACAGGGTCTTTGGGAGCATTGACTGTGAGCCAACTTTCATATAGAAGATGGACTCCAAAGCCACCCTCTGGCTAGGCCGCAGCGGCTCCATTTTACAGATAAGAAAATCAAGGCCCTGGCCCCTGGGATCTGTCTAGTTTCCTGGCCTGCCTTCTAATCCTGAGCGCTCTAGTCTCCCTTGGCCTCCATATGCTGGCAGATGATACCCATTTTCTCATGGAATAGAAACCCTTTTCTCCAGGAGGGTATGGTTTTGCTCTCTGAAAAATAAGATTTTAAGTGATTATTTTTTTCTTTCTTCCCTGATGGGATCCCTTCCTCAACACAACCAAAAGTTGGTTATATTTCAAAGGAGGTGGGTGCTGTTGTTCATCGGGAAGACCACTGGCTCTGGCATTCCCTGCAGGGGGAAGTTAATGACCAAAATTGGGAAGGAGTGATTTCAGCTGTCCTTGTTTTCGGTTTCTGTCGTGTTGGTAGTGGTGCTGCTGAACTTTTTCTTCAATTATGAAACATTTTAAGCATAGAGAAAAGCCAAGTTTTGTTTTGTTTTTTTGACTGGCTCATGTGTTTTGGAAGGCCGGATGGAAACAGGGCAGAGCAAGGTGCCGTGTTTCACTTAGCGCTGGCTCTGGAACCCTGATGATATGTCACTGAACTGAACCCACACTTTTTTTTTTTTTTTAAAGATTTTTATTTATTTATTTGACAGAGAGAGAGACAGCGAGAGAGGGAACACAAGCAGGGGGAGTGGGAGAGGGAGAAGCAGGCTCCCCGATGAGCAGGGAACCCGATGCGGGGCTCGATCCCAGGACCCTGGGACCATGACCCGAGCCGAAGGCAGACGCTTAACGACTGAGCCACCCAGGCGCCCCCTGAACCCACACTTTTTGGGGGGCTGGTGACAAGCCCTGTCCTGGGAGCTGAGGGACGCTGGTACGTGGTCCCTGTCCCCGGAGAGCTCCCAGGTGGGTGGTCTCTGAACTCTTGGGGAGTGCTCTGGAAGAGATAAACTATTCTAGCATTTTCCCCTTTGAAAAGGAGAGAAAGAAAATTCCAAGAGTCTGTTGTACCCCCACCCCCACCCCATCCTGAAAGCTGCTGAGCAACTATTTTTATGTTGTCTCTTTTTATCCCGTTGGCTCTGTAAATAGTTGAGAGATGGCAGCGGCAGAGATAAAAATGCTTAACCCAACCTGGAGTGGAGAGAGGATGGTCCCGCAAGGAGATGCCCCCTCACCCCTCCCCGGCCAAGGTCTGGCCCCTCTGCCCACAGGGGCGTGAGGTAGGAGGTGAGTGGATGGGGGAAGGGGCATCGTGGGTGGTGTCTGAGATAAGCCTCTGCTGGAGAAGTTTAAATGGGGAATCAGTGGTTTGGGTGGGGGCAGGGTGTGGAAGAAAGAATACCTCCCTTATGGGTTTTTACAAGTGCGTTAGGATTTTGCTTTTGAGGCTTCTGATGGAAAGAGATTTTATTTAAGTTCATCTCAGACAGTTCTCCCAGCTTCTGTGTCCAGGTGTGGGGGACAGGGTTGGTCCCCCTGGCTGGGGTTGCTTTGTGCTGGAGGTTGCGGAGGGAGGGAACTGGATTTAGCATCACCTCCAAACCGCAGGGAAGAGGGAAGGAGAAGGGCCGTGGGTGGGCAAGGCAGGGGTGCCTGTGGATTCCAGGCTGTCCCCCTCTATCTCCTACTTGCCGGACTGCAGAATGTTGGAGTCCCAGTTTTTTCTTTCATTTGTTTCAAATTGTTACTTCTTTTCATTACAAACTGAAATTTCAGTTGTTTCCCTGCCTCCTCCTTTGGTTCAGTGAAAGATTCAGGGGGAGAGGGGGAAAGAAGTAAGATGGTTCCCACCTCCTTTCCAGATACCCCACACACCTGCTCCACACCCACCCACCCACTGACACTTCCTCCTCTTCAAGATGGGGGGCCACTGGGGCGCACCTGGCTTTAGATGCTTGGCTGTGTGAACTGGGCCCCCCTCTCCATACTTCCTTATTGACCAAACAATAGCTTCGGAGGAAGACACTTGAGCTTCTTGCTCAGTAACTGTTGTGGCCCCCAGGGGACATGGGGCTGCAGGGGTCAGGACCCCTGGTTCTCACCCTGGCCTAGCCCTGGACCTGCTAGGCTCCCTTGCGGAGGTCACCTCACCTCCCTGGGTCTCAGCAACTCCATCTGCAGCCCTGCGCCAAAGATGAAAGCCTCGGGAGCGTGCACAAATTCTTTTGACACATGTAAGCAAGGACATGAAATTCTATGCACACTTCGATTTAAATCTTTTGAAAAGTGATGCATGTGGACGAGAGTTAGAGGGGAAGATGAAAAGCGTAAAGTTAGCATGGTGGGATTAGAGATAAAAATTTTTGTTTTAATATAAATTCAAGCCAGTTGAGGGACTTGAACTTGTTAGCCATGGAAGTGCTTTCTTGGCAACAGCCTCCATTCGGGGAGCCTTTGCTGTATGCAGAAGGGACGTTCACTTGATCACCATGTCCCACCTCTCCAGGAGCCTTTGGTTTAGTGTGATTGTGGGCAAGTCACTCGGACTCTCTGTCTCAGTGTCCTCACCAGTGAAATAAGCATGATAAGCGTACCTGACTCCAACATTCTGCAGCCCGGCAAGTAGGAGATAGAGGAGGCCAGCCTGGAATCCACAGGCACCCCTGCCTTGCCCACCCACGGCCCTTCTCCTTCCCTCTTCCCTGCTGTTCTGACAGTTAAATGAGATGATACATGCAGAGTACTCAGAATAGTGCCTGGCACTTGGCAAGAACTCCAGAGGGCTGGCTGCCGTCTAACACCATCATGGCCCCTGCTATACTGACACATTTCTTGTATCAAAGGTGCTGGTCACTTTCTTTCCTTCACTCTGTCATGTTCATTAGCCCTTCCTTTCCCTATCCTTGATTTTTTTCCTTTAAGATTAAAGAGAAAAAAAAAAAAAAAGATTAAAGAGAAAAAAAAAAAAAGACTTTGGAAGTTCTGGTTTCTGCCTGACTGTCAAGGTGAAGGCTGTCTGGGTCACCAGGGGACCTGCAGCTGCCTGGCAGTTTAGCCTGGTTGGGAGCCTTACAGTGTAGGGAACTGTTGATCTGGCAGGAAGCTTAGTGGAGAAGCTTTTCTGTTAATCAGTTCTGTGTCTTCTGTTAGTCAGGACTCTTGGTTATAAGTGACAGAAAACCAATCACAAACTAACTTAAGCAAAAATGGGCTCATGTAGTTAGAAGCTTCTGGTGTATGTGGGCTTCAGGCATGGCTGGATCCAGGTACTCAAACAGTGTCTCTGGCCTCAGTTCTTCTCTTTCTGTTGCCTCTCTTCTCTCTCTGTCGACTTCATTCTAAGGGAGGGTTCTTCCCCAGCCCGTGATAACTCTAGAAATACATCCTTTTTGCTCCAAGTTCCACAGAAAGAGACATTTTCAATACTTCTGCCAAATCCTAGAATAAAACTTGGTGGTCTGACTTGAGTCACACATCTACTCTTGAATCAAATCTCTTGACCAGAGCAATTCATGCCTCATTGACCAGGCTTAAGTCATATGGGAATCTCGGAAGTTGATGGTACAGACAGCACCATGGAGTCGCCTTTCACAAGAAAGAATGGTTTCCCAGATGTAAAGCAAGCTGCTGTTACTAGACTAAAGGAACATAGATTCTAAGCCAGCTGAAGAAAACTTCTGAGCAGCCTTGGGATGAGTGATAAAAACAACGGCCTCAAGCCAATATTTACTGAGTGCCAGCAGCGTTCTGGAAAGTTCTAGGTCCTGGAGTTGATCAGTAAACAAGAAGGGCAAAACCACGGCTCTCACAAGTTAAGTCAGGGTGATGTCTCCACTCCCAAATCCTATGCATTTCTTTTCTGACCACCCTAGGACCCCATGTCTTCATACTCCCCTCTCAAGCAGGTTGAGGTCTTAGGAAGTCAGAGGAATGGGCTGTGTGCTCCCCTTTGCTAGAGATTTTGCCCAGCCTGGACTTTATTTAGGATGTAATATGTGGTCCTTGCAAGGCTGTACTTGTAATTTTTAGCCCCTTCTCGAAAAACTCAGACCAATTTTAGCTTTTCCTGTGGAACCACTGCTTAGCTTGGGGCAAATCAGTAAATCTTCCTAAACGTTCATTTTCTCATTGGTGACTTGAAATGGTTGGAGCAGGTGACCCTCGATGTGTGCCCTTATTTAGCACTGACATCCGACGCATCTCCAAGCAGGGCCTGGAGGGGTGAGACAGGGCAGGGGCTGTGGAGAAAGGGGGCAGGCGTGTGACGTGCACTCGGCCCGCCCTCGGTGTTGGGGAGGCAAGGGGGGGCGGCGAGGACTGTGGCACGCGGGCAACTGTATCTCCTGTCCGAAGCTGCAGTGAGCTGTTGCCAGGAGAGAATACAGGCCTAGTGCTGTTGGAGTGTCCAGTACCTCCAGAGACTCTGAAAATTTTGCCTTTTATCTGAAATGTCCCGGCTTTGACTTCTCATTCAAATGGTTTTATTTTTTATTTTATTTTATTTTTAGATTTTATTTATTTATTTGAGA